CTCCGGCACAGGGCTCGGTGGGGGGGGGGCTGGGCCTGCGCTGGGGTCAGATCCGTGGGCGCAGGGGGCGCACGTGAACTTGCTTCCCTGCTTGTGCCGAGGCGAGACCGGTGTGGCGGACATTACCCATCATCACCGTCATCACTGCAACAGCAGACCCTCTGGGTAAAGGATTTGCCGGCGCAGACCCAGAGGGAGAACCCCACGGCCACGCTCTTTCTGAGACAGCTCAGTGCACTCCAGGCGCAGAACCGAGCTCATCCCGGGGCTGGTCCGGCGGCTCTCACCCTCCCTTTGGTACAACAGCATCTGAGCTCAGAGTCACCAAAATACAGACGCAGGTGGCTCTACAAGGAATGGATACCCCCTGGGACCCCCGAGGGACTGCGGCTGGGCCAACACGCTGATGTAGCCCAGAAAACCCATCTCAGATGTTTGGCCTCTGGGACCGAAAGGTAATGTGATTCTATTGCTTTAAGTCACTCGTTTGTGGTAACTTATTACCACGACCCTGACCCTTGGCCGAGAGGCGGGCGAGTGACAGAGCCCAGGTCTGCGCCGGGGCCTGGAACACGGAGCTACTGGTCGCCAGGAGCGAGTCTTCCGTGGGGACTTCACTTTCCATTGGTGCATTCATTTTAAAAAGACTTGGGAACCTACTACGTGCCGGCCACTCCTTCTGGCCAGGAGAGATTCCTGATGTTTTCAAACTGGGCGAGGTCGGGAGTTTCCATCGGGACAACGGTCGCTCCAGTTACCAGCATTTTCCACCCAAAACGGCTCCTCACTCACTTTCTTTGGCTCCCGACACCGAGCCCAGCATCCAGGCCGAAGGTTCGTCATTTCGGCACGAGGCCCCCTCGCTTCTGGACGGGAGCTGGCCGTGGGCCCCGTCTCCACCGCCGCCTGGTCTCCCGGTAACACTGGAGGCCAGACTCACCTTCTGCAGGGCGTGTGCACAGCGCAGCGTCGTTCCAGCTGGGTCAGCGCCCGGAGGACAGCAGAGGGCACGGGGCAAAGCCGGGGTCCGGTTCCACTCCCGCTGCTCAGTCAGGGCGCCTAGCTCGCGGGGGCCTCGCCGCACCGGGTCTAAGGAGGAAGCATCTTCCTCACTCTCAGGAGCCCCGCCTGGCTGTGCGGGCCTCTCCTGGGGACCTTGGCGCACAGCCGGAGGTACTGACCGGAGCTTCTACACGGTAATGACACCCGGCGTCCGGCCAGGAGCCCGCCTCGGGGACCCCGGAACCCGCCCGTGTGATCACGCGGCAGACCCTGGGAGATTACGGGTGCGTTTAGAATTGAGCGAGGCCACGAAATGATTTGGTGCGATGCCCACCCAGAAAGAAGTGTTTTCTAATAGCTGGAGAGGAAGGTGAGAGAAAGCATAGCACCACGAACATGTACGCAAGGAAGCCCCCAGGGCGCCTGCCCGGGATGCCCCGCCCCGCGCCCTGCCCCGGCCCGCAGCCACCGCCTCCCTCTCACCTGGAGCTCGGGGAAGAGACTCGGCCTCCGTGGGCCTCACCCTCGAGGAGGTTCTGATTATTCAGCAATTGTTGGTCTCACTCAGTGACATTCTCTCTCCCTTTAAAAATAAAAATAAAAATTTTTTAAAATAGAGTCTGAAAGAGTTTTTAGTTAAACAGTGAAAAACTCTAGCCCAAGGCAGAGCTGCTGGAACAAAGCACCTACGAGACGGGCCCCCTGCAGCCCTCCCAGCACCTGCCAGCCCTGCCCGCCAGGGGGCAGACTGTGTCCGAAACGGAGTCACCCACCACCTCAAGGCCCACAGCACCCACAGCTGTAAACACGCGTCTCCACAGGAGCTCAGAGACCTCTCCGCGGGTGTGAGGCAGCCCTTCCTGGTGGCCGGGCCGGCCTCCCGCACAACCACTGCACAACAATCGCACTGTGCTGTAACTGGGTGACCTCAGGGGTGTCACCCCAGCCTGAGGTGGCCCCCGCTTGCCATCTCAGTCTGTTGGCCTTCCCACTTTTTCTGTACATGCTCCCTGTTTTGGAGCTTGTAACCCTCCAGGGATGTGTCCTGCACAGGACAACAGGGCCCACAGCCCCAGTCGACCTCCCTAAGCCTTTGCTGGGGGTGGAGAGTTGAGGGAGCTGGAACCCGTGGGCAGAGCTGCCCTCAAACCTGGGCAGGGGCAGCGATACCTGGAAGTGGCCCAGGTGTCCTGTCCTAGACAAGGCTGGGACGGAAGAGGGTGCAGTCCCCTCAGTGGGCCGGATATTCCAGCACTTCGATTGAAAGCGCTGTGCGTGCCAGGTGTGGAAGGTAGGGGGCGGCTCGGTGGGGACCCCACAAGCACCCCCTCGGGCAGGTGGGGCTGTGCAACAGGCGGTGATGGGATTTCTAGAACCGGTGGACTCAGAGGTGTAAGGACAGAAAAAGGCCTCTCTTTCTTTGCTGCACCGTCCGTAATTTATGAGAAGCGCCTGGTAATTAAGCCCCGGGATTGTTGGCTCCTCTGGTTCCGACAGCCCTTCTGTTCAAACTGCAGACAAGAGAATCTTCTCTCAGGGCTACATTGTTGCATCCACTCNTCTGTTCAAACTGCAGACAAGAGAATCTTCTCTCAGGGCTACATTGTTGCGTCCACTCCTCCCGGTGTTTTCACAACTCTCAAGGCTACATTGTTGCATCCACTCCTGCTGTTTTCACAACTCTCAAGGCTACATTGTTGCCTGCCCCTCCTGCCAGCTGTTTTCACAGCTGGGATAATTAGGATAATTCGCACCAAGGAGTCTCTAGTTAGTAGAACACTCCCTCCCCTCCCCACTCAAACAAGCCCCCTTTGAAGTCTTTATAACTCTTGCTCTGAGTATGTCTTACAGGCCCGGGAAAAATACTAATAAGACACCTCCCTAGGACATCTGCCGGACTGTCTCCTGGAAATCAAAGTGTAATTTTTTCAAGACAACCTCCCTCCTATCTGCTGAACTTCAAGACATCCCCCCCTTCCTTGTCGCCTAGCAACAGTACCTCCTTAAAAGAGCAGGCGGACCCCTTGTCTCCTGCCCTTGTATTGATTAGCAATGCACCGGCCCTTTCCCTTCTGGGGGAAAACACGATAAACTCCCTCTCTGCATCTCTTCTTTTAGTTGCGAAATCTTTCACAGGCCCGAGACACTGGCCAAAACCGTAACAAGAGGCACCAAGGCACTGCCTCTGCTGGTCAGGACTTGGCCTGGGGGCCATGACGGGGTCGGTTCCTAACGCCATCTCCACAGACATGTTGCACTGGCCGCCCGGATGCTGACTGCCACCACTAGGGAACTCGCCCCAGCTGGAGACGCCTTCTCTTCCCCAGAGTTTGGAAAGTGGAGACCGGGGCTGTTAGGATTCTGCGTACAAGGGTAGGAGGCCAGGACCCTTCAGCTCCACCCTTCACGAGGGTTCAGGGGCCCGGGTAAGGCTGCACACCCTGAATCACTGTGACCTGGAGAAAATGGCCCAGACTCGGAGCTTCCGTCTGCTCCGTGTGACAGGAACAGGCACACCTCCCCAATCAGGTGCGGAGAGCGTGCCTCAGGGCATGGGGGGGACTCCCAAGAGAGCCAGGCCATGGTCGGTGCTCAGTAAATGCTGGTCAGTGGCCCCTCTCTGCATGTGCCCACTTGGGTTCCTGCTCCAGCCCTATCCTGAGGGGTGTCCGCACCTCCTGAGGCCAAGGGGACAGAGCCTTTTCCCGAGGGGCACCTCCTCCCCACCACTCGGCCCCCACAGAGCTTTTGCCATGTCTGTAGCGGCCCCCAGAGCCGGTCCCCTGGGGAGGAGCCAGAAGGGCGAGGCCTTTTCCCCGAGGCCCAGGGGCCCTGGCTTCACTGAGAACCTAATGTACTTTCTAATCTCGCTGTGCACCAAGGGGGCCTCCCGGGTCACCCCGCCCTGGCTGGAGGGGGTGGGGAGCGAGGCGGGGCAGCACAGCCCGGCCATGCATTTGCTGAGCAGGCTGCACCGGAGCTTGGAGGCGCTAACTCACACGACCCCGGCTAGCGGCGAGAGGCCGGCCAGAGGGGCTCAGACCTCTGCTCCGCAACCAGGCTGAGAAGCCCTCTACAGCGAGCAAGAAATGCTAACACGCTGATATTTCCAACAAGTGTGTTCTGCACTCATCTGGGGAGGGCCCAGCCCTGACCCATTCAGGAGACTGCCTGTCTTCATTCAGCCTGTTGTGACCTGAAGATAGGGAAGCCTCCTGGGTCTGTCCCCTTCCTGTCCAGGACGTGGGCACCAAGCTCTTTGATTTCTCCAGTGGGATGCAAGCCTGGCACCACTTTCGGGGGTCCTCCTTCACTTGCCTGAGGGATAGGCGGCCAAGCTGGGGTTTCTTTCTGTGGCAAGCAGAACAGACTTCCATGCTCAGCAAGAAAATGGCCCCACCAAAGGGCTGCCACTGGGGGAGCACCGCACCGCTCCCTGGAAGCCCCCAGCAGACACCCAAAGCTTCAAAGCAGCACCCCAGCATCTGACCCAATGTTCCCTGGGCATCCCCCCTACACACCAGAGTCTCAGCCTAAGCGAGACAGAAACGAAACAGAAGTTTGAACTGGCAACTTTAATATAAAGAATTATTATCTAAGGCAGTGACATTAACAGAGTTTCAAGAACACCCTAGGGTTGAGGGAGTGAGCCCGATCTAAGAAAACACTGCAGAGGGGTCCCCTTCCCAAGGCCGGGGTTCAGACCTCACTGGAGAAGGCACAGGGAGGCCCGGCACGGTGCACAGGTTCGCGGGGCTGCCTGAGCCAGTCTGTGCAGTCGCTGGGCGCGCAGGAAACGCCCCTCCGGAGGGCAGGCTGGCGGGTGGACGGGTGCCAGAGGGAGTCGGGCACTGGGAGCCTCGGCCGGGACTGGGACCTCGTGTCTGGTCTGGGTACGGTGCCTTGGCTGTGCGTCCCCACCCGTCAACATGAGCCACCGGGAAACAAAGGGCACCCCTGGGCTCAGGGGGAGGAGCCCCATCCTCACGCAGTGACCCTCAGTCCTCTCCACCGACAAGTTCAAGGTCATGTTCAGTGTACGAGACGTTGGAGCAGCCCACTGTCAAGGGCAGGTGATGAAGGCACCTCTGGGGCTGAGCTGGTCACCTGGTAACGGGTGAGCCCTGCACCCCACTCCCACTCTCATTAGCAGGAGTGAGTTCAGTCCTGACCCCGGAGCTGGAAGACGTGCCACCAGGGCCACACACCCACAGAGGAGAAACAGTCACCGACGGGCTGGCAGCGGGGACCGGCCATCCTCCCGTCCTCGGAACAGAGTAAAGACGGGTCACCTGCGCTGGTGAGAAGGCAGGAGCCGTAACCCTCCGAATCCCCGGGACCAGGGGAAGGGACGCAGACATTGACATGAAAAAGTGCCAGGCGCTTCCCGGGTTGCAGGAGGAAACGGAGGCTTCCTGAGGGTGGGGCTGGGATGTCGGCCCCCAGGGACCGGCTCCGACGCTCCCCCAGTCCCCCGGGGGGGGGGCCTCCCCAGGCAGGACGGCCTTCTAGAAGATGCCGGGCAGCAGGCGGTAGGGCACGGCGGCCGTGTAGCGGGCCCAGTCGCCGCCGTACTTGCTGGCGCAGCGGTGCTCGTCCCGCAGGCAGCGGTGGGTCAGCAGGACGGCCATGTAGACCACGTAGAAGTAGGGCAGCAGGTGGCCCCCGCCGCAGGCCAGGCAGTAGGCCAGGCTGCCCATCAGGTCGCCCGTGTAGTTGAGGTGGCGGGCCAGCCCCCAGAAGCCGGACGCCAGCAGCTTGCTGTGGTGCCGCTGCCCGTCGGCCGAGGTGTAGGTGCAGGCAATGGCCCTGGGCTTCCGGCCCCAGATCAGGCAGCGGCCGTCGGTGCGGCGGAACAGGTCCTTCTGGTGGTTGGCCTCGCGGAAGACGTAGTAGCCCAGCAGGCCCAGCAGCAGCACGCCCGCGGCGTGGGGCACCGGCAGCTGCACGGGGTGGTGGACCAGGTACAGGCCCTGCGGGCGACAGGGCAGGGTCAGGTGCGGGCGCGGGCTCTGCCCGCCTCCCCGGGTCGGGCCTGCGTTTCCTCCTGCAATGAAAGCACCTGCCTCGGGGGGGGGTTGGGATCAGGTGAGTCAACACGACTGTGTATCTACCTACCTGTCTTATCTGTCCATCTAAGTACATACACATACACACAGGTTATACACACACACATTATAATAGAAACGTAACACATACGCTATAAAAACGCCCTTTGCCTATAACACTCCGATGGTTAATTTTATGTCTCCTTGGCTGGGCCACCAGGGCGCAGATATTTGGTCAAACACACATTTCCAATCAGCAGACTTGGACTGAAGCAGATCTCCCTCCACAGTGTGGGTGGGCCTCACCCAATCAGTTGAAGCCTTACGAGAAAAACAACCAGCCTCCCGGAAACGAGAGTGAATTCGACCAGCAGACAGCCTCGGCCCTCAGACCCGGTGCAACATCGGCTCTTCCCTGGACCTCCAGCCTGCTGGCTGCCCTGAAGAGTCTGGATTTGCCAGGACACACACACACATGCACACAGACACATATAAATACACACACACACACACACACACACACAATCTATTGTGACGACTTTGCAAGCCTAGAAATTGGAGTTCACAGAGCAGGGAACTGGTGAGCCCGCAGCCAGCCTGGTAGAAATACAGGTGCACAGGACCCACCCAAAGGACCCAGCGTGGGGATCAGAGCCCAGGACATCCAGCCCCCGGCCCCCTTTCCTCTCCACTGCTCACTCTGCAACTTTCCTGCTTCCCCAAGGCCCCGGCCTCGGGAGGCTGGCGGGGTTACCACCTGCAGGTCGGGCTGTGAACACTGAACGCCTGACCAGTGCGTACCCTGCACAGTCCCCCAAGTCTCTCCACTCAGGCTCTCCCCACACTGACGCAGTTCGGGACGGCAGGTGCATCAGACACGTCCACTCCTCGTCCCTGGGCCTCCTCACCAACTGATGAAACCAGCAGGTGGCCTGTGGCCAGGCCCTCAGTGCGTCCACCTCACACAGGAGCCAGCGACCACACCAATGAAGGTGGGCTGCTCTACGAGCTGGGAGGAGTGGGGGGAGGGCTGATGACAAGGCCACTCCCCTGTCCCCCAACTGCCTTATAAGCTCTGGGGCAGCTCTGCGCGGTGCCCTAACCCGACCCCTAACCCCTAACCCCTAACGAAGACAGCATCCACCCTCATTTTCCAGAGATGTCCGGATAAGTGATCAAGCCCCTCCCCTGGCTGATGGCCCCACCAAGGTGCCATCCAGGTGAGCTCTGGCTCCCTGGGCCAGCATTTCCACGCCTCCCGGGACACACCTGGTGTCTCCTGAGGACCACGCCTGCATCGCCTGCATCATTCCCATGGCACAGGCACGCCCCGCGAGCCCAGCCGCTCTCCTCCTACCTCCTCCCTCCCTGTCTCTCAAGTCCACTCTCGCTCAGCCGGTGCTGAGCTCTGCTCAGTTCTCCAGCCTCCAGCCTGGCAACTCCTCCTGCCTCACCTCATGTCCTTTGTCCCGGCCGCGTGGAACTGTGGGTGCCCCACACCCCTCCCGGATGCATGCTCACACCACTAAGACTGCCTTGCTGCTCCACCTTTCTGGAATGTTCTCAGCCCAGCCCCCTCATTCTCAGCCCCCCCCACCATGGCTGTGCTGACCCCCATGCTGGTGGGGGCAGCTCTCTCGCCCAGGGTCAGCGCCCCTCCTGCACCGGGCTGCCTTTCCCACCAGCGGTGAGCTCTGAGGGGGCGCATCTCCCTCACCCCTGCGCCCAGCAGGTGCCAGGTGCCTCTCGGACCCTGGTGAAGTGTTTACAGAACAAATGAAGCCAAGAAAGATGCTCTCCTGACCTTCAGGCATGAAGATTCGAATAACTGAGAACATAAAACCCCCTCCATCCACCCACTTCTCCCAAATCATCCCCTTCTACCCAAAGTCTACTGAGCACCTTCTTTAAGTGCTGCGGCTGAGTTGTGCCCACAAATTGCTATGTTGGAGCCCTAATCCCCAGCACCCCTGAATGTGACTGTATTTGGTGACGGGGCCTTTAAACAGGTGATTAAGGTAAAGTGAGGTCATTGACGTCAGCCTGATCCAATGTGACTGGTGTCCCTATAAGAGGAGGACATTGGGACACAGACACACACAGAGGGACAACCATGTGAGGACACGGGGAGAGAAGACAGCCATCTACATGCCATGGAGAGGCCTCAGGAGGAGCCCGCCCTGCCCACACCTGGACCTTGGGCCTCCAGCCTCTGGGACAGGGACAGTAAGTATCTGTGGGACTTTTGTCTGAGCTGATCCCACACTAACCCTCCTTCCTGAGAACAGGGAGCAGTCCCTCTCCTCCAGCTCCGCGCCCCCCAAGGCCATGCACCAGCAGCAAAGCGTAGCCAGTGTTTAGCTATGCGTCCGGAGGGGAGCCCCAGGCGGGCCTGGGGACCAAGGGACCAAACGCCCCGCTGGGCCGGCACCGCTCCTACCTGCAGCGTGTAGAGGTACGGCAGCCAGACACAGTCCCCCCAGCCCAGGTACCACCCGAAGTGGTCGTGGCAGATGTCGATGGTCTTCAGGTACCAGGCCTCGTTCCAGAAGAAGTCCAGCACATAGATGGCCTGCAGAGGAGAAGCAGCTGTGTACCAACCCCGACACCGCGGGGCAGGGCCTCTGAAAAACCAGGCTCTGGGATGGGGGCTGCTGGGCATGGCTCGGCTCCTTTGCGTCATGTGCCACTGGGCTGCTCTACACCGCCCACCCTGCTGGGATTTGGGGCGTGAGGGGTGGCGGAGAGTCTTGTCCACGGAGAGGCCGTGGTCTGAGAGAACAGGTTCGAGCACCCCACAATGTCCTGGGACGTGACACCCGGGGCGGTAGGGTTGCCGCAGAGAGAGTGAGATGGTTCAGGGGGAAGGCTCAGGACGTCCCCTGGAGGAGGGGGTATGGGACGCCACAGCGCATGCGGCACGGCAGCCCCTGCCCATGGGTGAGCGTCCCAACGTGTGTCCTGCCAGCTGTCCCCGCAGCACCATGACACACGTAACGTGGCCGGCAGACTGGGTGACTGCTGGGTCCCACGGGACCGAGAAAACAAACACTGATTTATCCCAACACAGATGGAATAAAGGGAAAATCACGCTCCACCCTCCCCACCTTGAGGGGTCACCTAAGGCCCACAGAGAACATGTGTGGGGGACCCCATGGGGAAACCAACCACTCTGGAGGCCACGAACTGTGACACGTGGCCAGGACCACTCATGGGTCCCAAGACATCACAACTCTGATGCCAGCACCACTGACATGCTTCGTCCAGTGGCAGGTGTCCCCTGGGAAAGTCCCCAGGGCCAGCACTGCCCCGGCCGCGATGACGGAATTCTCCCTCCTCGAGCTCACCAGCCCGAATCCGGGGGATACCCAGGAAAGGTGGATTAAGGTCCTTCATACCCGCCTCCTCAGGTCTCCCCAGTGCCCCCACGAGCATCAGAGCTCCCCCTGTGACCACACAGGTACCTGCAGCACGTTGACCAGGACCATGGAGTTGGTCACGTGGCCGTGGAGCTCCCGCTGCTTCGCAGCAAAGGACAGGTTGATGAGGGTCCACGCGACGATCCCGGGGCGCCCGTTGAAGAACAACTTGAAGTCAAACCACTTCCCGATTCGCGGGTTAAACTCAATGCCCATCATGTAGTTATAAAAGAAGTTGCCTGTGAATTTGCTAAAAAATATAAAAGACACAATCAGTCAAGGGGCGCACGGCACCCCCTGGGGCCTGCTTTGGGCACCTGGACCCAGGCGCTCGGCCCAGCCTCGGTGCCGAAGGCGCAGGTGACCTGGCCGAGGGCTGGCATGAGCCGCAGAGAACCTGCGGTGGGGGGCGGCGCCCCTCCCGCTTCCCCACAGCCTCAGGCCCTCTCCCTGCGGCCGGCAGCCCTGCCCAGCAACCAGCTCAGAAAGGAGCCCCAGGGCAGCTCAGTCTAGTCCGGGGGAGGGAGGACATGGCACCCGGGCTCGGGGCTTCCTTGGGCCAGCACCCAGGTTTCCCACCACCCTCCTCCAGGTTCCCTTGAGGCCCAGCACAGGTGAGGGCAAGACCGGCTGAAACAGACTAAAACTCTAGTCTGCAGCCAACCGCGTGGCCTGAAGGGGACTCACAGGGCGCGTGACATTATAAACTGTGCCAACATAGGGAGTTAAAAAAGCACCACGCTCAGAGCCAGGTGCCTGGCTCCAGGCTCACATTCTCCCTCGCTAGATAAGCTTCTTAACCGCTGGTCACCCTGGTTACCTGACCCCACAGCCCTCTCACCAGGTGGAGACCCTCGTGAGGTATACCTTGCTGAGCACACAAGGGATTTGTGTTAATTATAGAAACAAGAGCATGTCAGTCTCCTTCAAGATAAGTAGATAGAAGCAAAATGTTCAATATTTGCAATAAGTGATGTTATTATTATTTTCTTTAAACATACCTTTATTGATTTCAGAGAGAGGAAGGAAGAGGGAGAGAGAGAGACAGAAACATCAATGATGAGAGAGTCATTGATCGAGCCCACAACCGGGGCATGTGCCCTGACCGGGAATCAAACCCCGATCGCCTGGATCCTAGGTCGACGCTCAACCACTGAGCCACGCCCGGCCGGGCTAGTGATGTTATTATTAAGCAGCAAAGTGACTTGCATGAGTCACAGGAGACTAGCCTCACTCTCTGGTGACCACACAAGACACAAAACACCATCGTCCAGACATCTCCCAAGAGCTAAAGGAAACACACTTCGGTTTTATTTGGGCCACAGACTAAAACGTATGCACCCTCCAAGAACAAGAATCTTACGCCTAAAGTCCCACTGCCCACACCTGTCTACAGCAGGAACCCAACAAACATCTGTTGATGAATGAAGTGAGGAAGGAAAGGGGAGGGATGAAAAATGGGCAGGGGGATGGATGGTGAATGAACGGGTGGATGGGTGGAGAGACGGATGGTGGATGGGTGGAGAGATGGATGGAGAGATGGATGGATGGATGAATGGATGGATGGATGGGATGGAGAGATGGATGGATGGATGGATGGATGGATGGGATGGAGAGATGGATGGGTGGACAATGGGTGGGTGAGTGCATGGGTGGATGATGGATGGACGGATGGATGGATGGATGGATGAATGACGGATGGATGGGTGGACAATGGGTGGGTGAGTGGATGGATGGATGGATGGATGGATGGATGAATGACGGATGGATGGGTGGATGGATGGGTGGAGAGATGGTTGGTGGATGGGGAAATAGATGGTGGATGGAGAGATAGATGGAGGGAGAGAGAGATGGGTGAATAAATGAGTAGATGACAACTACCCAACCCAAGGCTTCCCTGAGAACTGAAGGACCCTCCATGGGAGGCTACTATCTTAAAGCCACTGAAATAACAAGTCTCCTCACTAAGATTCTTTGGCCCACACCGACGTTTCAGGAAAAGAGGCCTTGTGCTGTCTTTGCCCCATGGACAGAAGTTGTCCCTCCAACCTGCCTGCTCCCATGACTCCGCCACCAAAGGCAGACTTGGCCCCCTTCACTGAATCCTTCCTCAGGCCGGAGAAGCCACCCAGACATTTAGAAAGGGAGCTCCCAGATCAAACAAGTTCCGTGAAGCTCCCCCGTCAAGGACTGTCAGCCCGTGGGGCCCACCAACTCCTGTGCCAGGTAACAGACGAGGCCAGGGGTGAGCATGCCCACTTCCCCTCTGGCATGACCAGCTATGCGGGACCTACCAGTCTCTGGCATTGGTGGGGAACAGGTAGCCCTTGATCATGGCGAAGGTGGACACGGCGTAGCCCAGGATGTTGGCACACCACAGCAGCGGGATCCAGTTGTCAAAGATGATGGTGGGAGAGAACCAGGAGAGGACGTGGGAGTTGGCGACCCAGAGCAGGTGCGTGATGAGCCACGCCTGCAGGCCGTTGATCTCGTACTTGTTGATGACGCCTGTGGAGGGAAGGCTGAAAAGTCAAAGCGTGCTCCTGCCTGTGACAGCAGCTGGCTCGGGTCCCACCTGCTTCTGGGGCCTCAGCTGCTCAGGGCCTTGTCTAGGGCACCCCGGCTCTGGCCCAGAGAGCTGGCCGGCGTCTGCAGCCATCCGGGCCTGGGTCAAGATGCCGGGGTTGCCCCACACTGCCAATCCAGGGACGGCAGCTCCCACCTGCGAGTCTGGGGCAAGGGCAGGGCCCAGGTGATTCCTCTGGTTCTGATTCTCCCTGATGGCCATGAAATTAGCGCTAACAGTGATCATGTTTAGACAACACATCACAGAGTCCAGAGGTGCAAGGATGGGCTTTTGCTAAATGTTCACTTGCTTTGGTTGTCATGTAGCTCATGGCCAAAGATTAAGAAAGTATGTCGGTCGTGTCCGGGAGGCCTGCCGGCAAAGCAAGTGCCAGGAGAAATGTTTAGAAGGACACTTCTCGACCAGCCAGCGTGGCTCAGCGGTTGAGCATCGACCTAGGATCCAGGAGATCCAAGGTTCAATTCCCAGTCAGGGCACATGCCCGGGTTACAGGCTCGATCCCTAGCGGGGGGGGGTGCAGGAGGCAGCCGATCGATGTCTCTCATCATTGACGTTTCTCTCTCTCTCCCCCTCTCCCTGCCTCTCTCAGAAATAAAGACATATTTTTTTCTTAAAAAAAAGTTTTAAAAAAGGACACTTCTCACCCTAGCTGGTGTGGCTCAGTGGTTATAGCATCAGCCCGAGGACCAAAGTGTCTCAGGTCCGATTCCCAGTCAAGGGCATGCACCTCGGTCGCAGGCTCTATCCCCAGAGCCAGTTGGGGCTCGTGTGGGAGGCAACCCATCCATGTGTGTCTCTCACATGGATGTTTCTCTCCCTCCCTCCCTCCCTCCCTTCCACTCTGTCTAAAAACCTATGGAAAAATATCCTCAAATCAGGATTAACAAAAAAAAAAAAAAAAAAACAGGCTTACTGAGCACAAAGCAATGACAGTTTAAACAGTGACAAAGGTCACGAGATGTTCCGTTTGCGTCTTTTGCCTGAAAGATAATGTCGCTGACACAATCAGGAGTGTTTTGCAGAATCCCTGCTCCTTGGCTCGGCCACATCACCCGACCCCAGTGCCGTCGGAGCTAAATACCTGAGCGTGGAAAACAGCTGAGGCTCTCATGGGAACCAATCGGCTTCCCCGGGACCCCCAGCACCTAACCCTCAACCTTGCCTTTAAAAACCCTGATTAAAAATCGTGGGGAGTTTGGGTTCTAAGCCATAGCTTCCCCGTTTCCTGGCCTGGCCCCTGCCAATAAACTGCCCTAATTTCTTCACCAAAAAAATTGCAAAACTCCGTGTTTGGTGTTTGGCCCCCGCTGTGCGGCGGGCGGGTGTTGCTGACAGACCCTCACCGGTTCGGTCACAACCAGAGGGGCTGAGCAGCCGGCCTGCGCGGTGTCAGCCTGGGGCTGGGCTGGAGAAGCGTTTATGGGGAAGCCTGTGGGACGCAGGGAGCGGCACTCCTCCCCTCCGGGCCTGCTGGGAACCCTCTGCCGGGCCCCTGGGGTCCTGGAGACCATGGGGAATGAATGGACGGGCATCCCTCAAAACTAAACCCCCCATGCCACCCACACCCTGGACACCACCAGTGGGCCTGCGGCATTCTCGGAGAGAAGTGGCTCCATTAGTCCAGTTACTGCCACCGGCTGTGGGGCCAGGGGCCAATCAGGTCCCTCTACTGACCTCACGTCTGGACACTCCTGAGGCTGCCCTCAGGCGTCTCGAGGCCGGGTCCTGGGGAAACTCCCGAGCACCTTCACGGGGTCGGTGAGAAGACTTTGGGACAGGAGGGGCTCAGGGGAGGGACGCCCCACAGGAGGGAGAGACAGGGACATGGCGGAGGGCTGAGCTCGGGGGTTACCTGCGGGGGTCAAGGCACCCTCCTGAACGCCTCCCACGTAGCCAGGCAGAAACTTGTGGCAGAAATCCGGCAGCCCCACATACAAGAGCACCTGAAACAGATTTTAGGCTGAGCCACGGGGCCGAGAGGCCTGGCTGTGACCACCTGCTTGTACTGACCGAGGTGGCG